GAGTTAGTGATGATGATTATTTGGGGAGAAAAGCATTCTGGATGAAGCCTATAACCTGCAAATTATACAGTAATACAATTGTTTATTTTTGACAAAGCAGAATTTGCCTGTTGGAATGTGTCTTCTCTCTTTCAAAATTGAGAACCTTGATGGGGCTAGGCATTTATTTCAAAGAGAAATTACTCAAACATACCTGAATCTGAGACTCCTTTTCTCAGATTAATTTTCTTCCAAGCCAGTTTATAAGCCACACAACATTATCTCATTAATTTATCATCACATTGTGTTTTAGACCTTACATATTATCAAGCTTAATCATTAGACTTGACTCAAAAGAATTTTAAGTTTTTTTTTTTTTTTTTTAAATACCAAAATTCACTCCCTAAAGCAATGGTTTTTTTGTTGGTTTGCTTTTTGTTTGTTTTGGAGGATCTGCCAAATGCACAATACACAGAATACACACCAACAGTTTACATGCAAATCACTGGAATCACAGGTAAAGAACTCATCTTCCAAGAGTTATAGAAATTAAAATAATGTTACAGATCTGAGGATAATTATTTTCTGAGCATAAGCAGCAGCCTTGTTGGAATAAATGTTTAGTTGAAGGAAACCACACCACTGTAGAAGTGATGGTATGGTATGAGTGTTTAAAAATGAGTTTATGATAGTCACATGGGGTTTGTGTTGTCACTTCTATAGCTACAGTGGTTTTGTGTATGTGTGTCTGTATGTGTGTGTGTGCATTGCTAGTGGGATGTCTTGGCAGTAGCATTTGCTTCCCCAGGTGTCCACTCTCAACTCAATTTAGCCAATTCAACTTAAAAGAGCCACAGCCCTAGGAAAAGGCAACATATGGGCTGAAATTGCCCTGGAGGCCCCACTAGGTTGCAAGAGCTGAAGAAAGGTGTGATTGGCATTCGTTTGGCTGCTCCTGGGGAGGGGTTGGGGCTTACACTGCTGTTCTGTCTAGGAGACAGGGAGCATTTCTTGTGATCCTTTCACATGCCAGGCACTTTAGGAGCAGACTTTATTAGCTCATTTAATTCTTAAAACAAGAATTGTTTCCTTGGAAAGGCAGTATTGTTCTCATTTTATAGATGAGAAAATGGAGACAGAGAAAAGCTAAACAGCTTATAATTAAATTCAATTAGCTAATAATTAGCCGAGCCAGGATTTAAACTCAAATTTGATTCCAAAATCCAGGTTCTTTCCACTGCCAAGCACTGTCTCTTACCAGTTCCTCCTGGACTCTGTGAAATGCTCCCATAAGCCTCTCCCTCCCTGGAAATGAAAACCATTTCATTTACTTCACGAAGGACAATTTCCCAAATGGCCCATAAGACGCCTAGGACTGAGACCCATTTGCTTCTATTACTGACTCCCTTTGTGACCTTAACTAACTCCTAAGTTGCCTGGGCCTTGATTTCCTCATCTGTAAAACAAGGGGACAGAGCTAGATGCAATTTCCAGCTGTACAATTCAGTGACTGTTTTCTGTGCCTCCACCCGTATCCCCAGCTGGCATGTCCCCATTGTGCAGCCTTTGCTGACCACCCAGAGCGGGAAGAGCGTCCCACTGCAGCCACCCCTGCTGTTCGTTGTCCACTGTCCACTTGCCTGGCTCAGCCTACTCATTCTCTCTCCATGTCTCATCTGAATTACTCATATATTTTTAAATACTACCTGTATTCCAATTTATGAATAAACCACAATATATGTTTTAATTTCCCCATTTTTTTTACAAACAGTACTGTGACCAATACTCTTTTACTTGCAACAGATTCTCTAGAGTGAGTGTCCAAAGATAGAATGGCTGAATCATACAGTTTGTGTATTAGATGTTGCCAAATTGTTCCCCTAAGTGGTAGTACCAACATGTACCCCCACTAGCAATGTGTAAGAGTTCCCTTTCCCATATCCTCAAGCAATACCTATTAAGCTTAATTTTTTTTTCCAGACTAACATTTTGGCTGCATTTGTCTCACAACATTACACTTTCTTCTTTACACTCATATTTACTTATCTCCCCTACTGGGCTGTAAATTTCGTAAGGGCAGAATCCTTGCGTAACTCATTTTTATGTTCATCCCACAAAATTTATTGAGCTTAGTTAAGTACACAGTAAAGAGATGTGAACAAATAAACCAGACTAACATTTTGGCTGCATTTGTCTCACAACATTACACTTTCTTCTTTACACTCATATTTGCTTATCTCCCCTACTGGGCTGTAAATTTCGTAAGGGCAGAATCCTTGCGTAACTCATTTTTATATTCATCCCACAAAATTTATTGAGCTTAGTTAAGTACACAGTAAAGAGATGTGAACAAATAAATAATGATCAGAATTAATTCATCTTGACCCAAGGAGATGGTGAGTTCCATGAGGCAAGGATGAGGCTTGCTTTCTCTATTAATCTGGGGTGAAGATGTGGGTAGGGGAGCCCCCTAAACTGCTGAGATAGTTGCACGGTGGTTACAACCAGCCTGTAGACCAAAGGCTTCAAGATCTACAGAGGACTGTGACCACCATTTTGGGGATCCCAGCTTTACATCATTTTTTATCACAGTATTCATTGAATATTTATCGATTACCATGAACAGCCAATTTCCCAGTCCCTGGAGCCATCTTCATTAAGTGCCAAGAGGACTGTTTCTGAATGGAACTCCCCCACCCCCAGTCTCGCCCCATTACTAAGGGCTGGAGACAATCTGTGTCCTTTGGACTGGGGTGCTACATGACCTATGGTAAATGCCTCTCCTTTTTGTTACCCCAGCAGTTCCAGGCTGACTCATTTTCTAAATAAGCCACTTGTGGCTTTTGGTCTGACATCACATGTGGAAGAATGAGTAATTTTTTAAGAACGAGAATTATATTTGATCAGAATAAGATACGTTGTGTATGTTACTCATGGTTTTAGGACAGGGGGTCAACACTAGTAACAAGTTCCCTAACCTTCTCCCATCCCTTCTTTCTCTGGAGCTCAGGGATAGAGAAAAAGTGAAAAAAAGTCGTGGATGTGGGTGCAAAGAATTTTGGAGTACACCTCTTATTTTGTGACCACATTAAGTAAATAAAACCTTATCTTACTGCCTCTGCTAGATTGAATAACATAGGGCAAAGTAGTTAAGGCTGTGAGTTCTGCTGATGCACTGCTTGGGTACAAACCCCAGCTCCACTTGACCAGCTTGGTGACGTTGAGCAAGTTGTTGAACCTTGATGTACCTCCATTTCTCATTTGTAAACTAATAATAGTACCTATCATATAGGCTTGTTGTAAGGAGTAAATAAGTTGATATATATTAACTAGTCACTGGAACCAATATGTACTATGGAAGTGTTAGTAAATATTCCTTTGAATGCATCATAATGTTTATGCTTATCCGAAGTGCTTGAAAAATGCTTTTTGACTAAATGAATGCATTCTGTTAAAATACATTTGGAATGAGAGTGAGAAGCAACCACAAGGGGTAGACTCTTGGTTGTGAAGGGGTTCAGAGCATGGCACTTCAAAATATGTCACTTTGGCACATTGATTATTTTGAGCAGAAGGCAATGGATGCAGGAAGGGTTCTCTGACCTCCCCGTTCTGCCTGAAGCAGGACCTACAACTTCTCATGTGAAAGATGTCCTCCTGCACCATGAAGAAGAGAATGTTCTTATCTCCAGGGTTTCCACCAAGATTAATCCGTACAAAAAACCTTACTAAAACTTGTAACCCTTCTCTTCCATTAGTTTCCCTCACATATTTCCTAGTCACTTTCCCATAATTTACCAACTCTTGCTCAGACCCTTTTGTCTTGTCACATTGTTACAATTGATGATTCTTTGTTTAAAATGGTATATAAGTTTTGGGTTTAACAGTTTCTTTGGGTCTTTGTTTTCCTTATTAAGACTTCTGTGTATACATAAAAACATTAAATAAAATGTGTATGTTTTTGTTCTGTTAATCTGTTTTATGTTAGTTTAATTCTCAGGCCCAGCCACAGAACATAAGAGGGTAGAAGGAAGCTTTGCCTCCCCATCAGCTGGAAACAGAAGGAACCCTAAGGATCAATTGCCTTTAGCTTAGTTATTCCCCACCCCCTCTTTTGTTTGGCTGCTTTCTTGCCTAGTCATGTGTCATGTGGGAGGAGGGCTACCACCCCCCAGGTGTCACCCAATGGGAGTTCCTCTTCTGGGTTTTCAAGTGTAAGCAGAGGGTAGAGTTCTCAATCCTTGCACCCTGAAAACATGGGATGAATGAGTTAGAAAGGAGACCCTGGTACCAGAGAAATTCATTCTCTGATCTCTCCAGATCTAGGAAGACAGTGGCATTTGGAAGAGTGTTATCTTGTTGTTAGTAGAATGCGTATTATGTATGGGAAATTATTTACATAAAATGTTAACATATTGATTTCTTTTTATCAGTACAGATGTGGTATTTATCTTCACAGCATTTGTGGTCTCTGGGGACATACTCTTGAGTATCAGGGAGTCACGAAGAAGTCAAGAGTGAAATCCCTCAGAGCCCACCCTCAATTGCAAGCCTCTTCACAATGCCTGGGCTGGGCGTAAGGGACCCCTTTCATCAGAGTGGGTCAATCCAGCCTTGTTGGCACTACCATTGGGCTTTAGGTTAGGAGCTTGATGATAGACCAAAGAAGTGGGTTTACACCTTGGCTGCTACGGAAGCAAGGGTGCTATTTATTCAAAAGGCTACAGATTCAGTAAATAGGTGGAAATGCTGAGTTGGTGAAGGAAGGCCAGCTGTCCTGGAGGAGACAGTCACTGGGGAGGTGCCAGGAGGCCCAGATAAGAGGCATGTAAAGTATAGACACATTCTCAACCACTTGCAAACACAGATGCACACGTACAATCACACTCACACACAATGACACAAGCATCTCCACCCTCCTAGACTTTTCATTCTTTGTGCTTGCAAACACACACGCACGTCTCATGTACATTCTCTCAGCCTAGAGGGTGGCCGAGGGGAGACCTCATGGTTGAATCAGATGCTGTTTAACGCTGCTGCTTTTATTACACCAAAGGTCTTAACATTTATTAGGGGATGAACACAGAACTTGGCATACTGCTGTTATAGTGGCATGCATATTGTGACACCTCTACAGTGTGGCTTCCGAGTTTCCAGGTCACTGCAGCTCACATAGGAGAACCACTCTCATAGGGGAAGAAAGAGGAAACTGCAGACCCTTGTTCACTCCAGTATCAGCAGACTCACAGTCTTTACTACCACGACAGTTTAGGGATCTCGTGGGCTGGGTGGGTATACTCTCAACAGTAAAACAGGTATGACAAGGGGTCCAGGTTTGGAAAAGTTCCTAAAACTTACAGCCAAGCGTACTTTCAGTTAAGTATATTCTTCCCAAATACATCACACTGCCTAAAGGTGGGGGGCATGCTTAGTACTGCATCTGAGCTGGGTTAGGCTGCAAGGAGTCTTCAACTAAAGAATTCCTGGTTTCACAGGGAAGAATAAGACATGATGGCGCCGTTACAATAAGGCCACTAAACTCACAGTGTACGATGACCTCAGAAGGAAGCTCTCACGACTACGGGGAAGCAGCTCTTTCCTCTCTGATGTCAGGTGCCCCTCTCTAGGTAGACACCTGCCCTGAGACTGTCACATTGTCCTTTCTGGGTTACACAACATCACTTAGCACAACGGAGCAGAGGAAGGGGCCACGCACGTCAAGGTCATGGGACATCACCACCAAGCGTGGCTAACTGTTGTTGGTGAATGTCTTAGATGCCTTTCCTGGTTGGGCTGGATGCCCCTGTGATTCTGAAGAGCTAATCTGAAAAGAGGCTGGCAAAGGACTTCCTCAAGCTCCGGATGGTCTCCGCTTTGGCTTCATCTTCACTGGTTGAAGACCGGAAGAAGGAGGACTCAGAGAAGCTGAAGGCATTTGTCAGGGACTGCGACTTGCTTGAAGATAAAAACCAGAGAGAATGTGAGAGGGTGATGTTCCCACGAGGCAGGGAAGGATGGCGACATGAGGATACACAGCTGGAACCCCCAGTCCCACCCCAGGGAGACCAGGGTGACAGAGGAAGAAGCCACAAGTGGCCATGCTGTGGGACACAGGGAGTCCCCTCCACTGTGTCCTCACCTTTAGTGCTGCTAAAACAGAAAAGGATGGAGCCATGAGAGAACAAGGGAGAAGGGGAAAAAAGAGAGAAGGAAAAGATAAAAAAGGGAAGACTAAAAGGCTGTTTCTCTTATTTAATGCTAAAATGCCCAAGGGCTAACCTTGGGCATTTTAGCATTAAATAAGAGGAATTTGCATCCTGGTAAGTACTAATCTAGGAATCTGACAGCCTCTCCCCTGATGAAAGGGAGCAGCCAGGGCCTGTGGACTCTTGTGCTCTCTTTTCCATCAGTTGTCAAGTGGTGGACCAAGCATCAGAAGACCTGGCTCAGAGTCTTGGCTCTGCCGCTCACTCGCTCCTGACCTAGGGCAAGCCACATACCTCTCTGGGACTCGGCTTCTCATCTGGGACATGAAGATATTTGGTAAAATGATGATCTCTAGGCCCTTTCGGCTCTTTCTATTCTGTTCTTTTCTCTAGTTCTGAAAGAACCTTTCAGCTTTGCCCAAGGCTCTGATGCCTCCACTCCCCTGTTCTTAAGAGGATGTAGTCACTTTGCAGCCTTCCTCAGAGGAAACCTCATATGAGGTCTGTGGGGATCGGGGTGTCTAGGGGCAAAAGAGATAAGTATGTGCCTATACGTGGTTATTAGGCAGTTTTCTAATGAAAAAAAAACCCATATCACACACATTCTAGGGACCTATTTTTTCCTTCAGAGACTGGTGATTAAGAAAGAAAAACTGTGAAGGCAAGAGATGGGTGGGAGGCCAGCTGGCCCTCGGGAGCAGACACGAGATCCAGCTTCTCTACTGGCCTGACCTGTGTCTTTCTTGACTCCCATTGGGTCTCCTTCCTGCTGGTTTCTGGCTCCAGAACTCTTCTCCTGGTGTCCTGGACCTCCCAGCCCTCCTCTGAACACTGGACACAGCCCAGGAAACTCCCTTGTGCAGTGACTGAATGGATGATGCCCCGCCTTTCATTAGGGCTGGGGATGAGCCCCAACTCGCTGGCCGCTGGAGGGGGGACTCCTCTGCACGCAAAGGCAGAGGGCACTGGGTACAAGACTCTAGCTTGTCATCAGAGACTGGCTCTATTCAACAGCTTCAGCCCAGAGGCAGTGATGGCCGAAAGATCTGCCCTCAGACTGGGGCTACAGTCAGCTAATAAGAAGGGAGGAGAAATGAAAAGTCACCATGCAGAAAACTGGGTTGGGGCAGGTAAGCAATGAGAGGTGCCACTGGCCAGAGCTGGGGAGTAGGAGTCGGTGATAAACCCCCCATCACAGAGGACTGGAGACCCAGAGGAAGTGACCATCTGGACACCCGAGCCCCAACCCTGGCTTTGCCACAACTACAGGAGTTGCTTTGAAAAAAAAAACCAATCAAATCTCTCTGAGCAAAGTTTTCTCATCTGTGCAATGACTAGATGATCTCCAAGTGGCTCATTTGAATGCCAGAATTCTATAGCTCCCCTTTCTCCTTCCCTGAAGATTAATTGATTGTCCATCCCCTCACTCTCAGAAGCATGGGTGGGTCACTCCCATCCCCCTAACGCTACAGCGGTCTCTGCTGATGGCAAGGACAGAAGTCTGCTGGGGGACATTGGAGGCAGTCAGAGGCATTTCTCATTCTGGGAGAGAGGGTGGAACTGACCACCATCCACACCTAGGTGCTGCCCCTCTGACGACAGCTCTGCTATTTTTCAGGAGTCCTCAGTACTTTCCTGTGCAGCAGGACAGTGTGGTGGGGGCTTCTAGAAGGACTGCTGGTGGAGCTGGCCGGTTAGCTCAGTTGGTTAGAGTATGGCTTTATAACACCAAGGTCTAAGGGTTTGGTTCCCCATACTGGCCAACTGCCAAAAAAAAAAAAAAGTACTAGAATGACTGCTGGGAATGAGGGAACCCAAGAGGACGGAGTTCCTGAGGTCTCTGTCCGGAGCTCCTTGGCTGCCCACACCAGAGACTGATGACCTGAAGACAGAGCTGAAGGTAACAAGTTGAAATGGATTTAACTACTTCCCCTTTTCCTTTTGGGCAGCCTTGCTGATTGCACATGCTGAGCTGTGAGTCAGAGGCAGGAAAGGTTTTATTTATTTATTTTTAACTTTTAGAAGGGGAGAGACAGAGAGAAAAGAAATGGAAAAAAGAGTGGGAGATGAGGTTAAAAAAAAAAAAAAACCAAAAAACCCCCTAAGCTAGTGCAAGACTAGAGATGGGACTGTCACTCTGCCGTGGTGCCATTCCGCAGGAAGGAAGGGGGGTTGAGCTTCTAGCTAAACCTTGGACTTCCACTTCCGTTTCCCTCCCCTCCCCAGTCAACCCCACCACCCCCCTCACCAAAAAAACCCCACACAACACAAAACAAAAAACAAAACAAAAAAAGCCCCCGAAACCCCACCACATAATATCTTTAGGAGGCGGCCTGACTGGAGGTGCTTCCTAGCATCTCTGGAGCCCCAGGCCCTGAGGAGGGCAGAGGGAGGGAGGGAGGAGCTGCTGAGCAGTCTCTTACTTGAGCTGTGGGTGAGGCTGGGGCTTCTGTGGTGGAGCAGCTGGAGGTGGCTGGGCCTCGGCCAGGGAGCTGCTGCTGGAGGGTGCGTCTCCGTGGGTGGTAGGGCCGCCCAGCCGTGGAGGAGCCGAGGAGGAGGAGGAGGAGGAGGAAGAAGAGGAGGAGGAGGAAGAGGAAGAAGGTGGCAGTGATGGTCCAGGGGGGAGCCGGCGTGGAGGCAGCACCTTGCCTGGGGGCTGCATTCCTTGGGGTTGCCCAGTGCCCCCTAGGTTCAGTACAAGAAAAACTTCATAATTTAACTGTATCAAAGGGTTTCCTTATTAGAATCTACATCTCAAAGGGTGTGGTTAGTTAATTACCAAAAGGATAATCTCTATTACAAGAAGCCACGGAGGCTCTGAAGGGCTCCAAAGGCCTCCGAAGAGAGTCCCTGGTTACCCTCATCCTTCCTCACTATTTGCTTCTCAGAGACACGCAACTCAGCTGCAGCAGGTCAGGACAGGGAAGAAACCAGGGGATGAGCAGGCCCCAATCCAAGGTGCACTCTCCAACAGAAGGACCCTGGTAGGCCTACAGAGACACCCCCTTTCCATTCCGTACAGGTTGCTCAGGTGCAGGCCACTCTGCTCCAGGATTTGCTAGGAAGTCCCAGATTCTACACAGCTGACGCAGTAGGAGGCAGTGGGAAGAGCACTGGACAGGAGTCAGGACACCCAAGAAATAGTCTATCAGTGACTCCCTGAGCACATGACCTAACTCCTCCAGGCCTTCGTTTTTCCAAACGTAAAATTTAAAAAAGTAATTCCTAGTCTTAGTTATCTTTTAAGATGGTAGTGTTTCAAAGATGATAATGAACAGGAAAGTTCTTCAGAAGGTATCCCATGCTTTACAATTATCATCAACGATCACTGACTGGCATTGTTTTTATGGAGCTGCCCTTTGTCTTGCTCTGAATCTGCATGTGTCTGATGGCCACTCGTGCCCCAGCAGGGCTTTCTCTTAGCATTAAGCTCATGCTCACCATCAGGATAAATCCTTTCCTTCCAGGCGCTCTTTTGCCCCTCAGTACTCTCCTCAGCGGCTCCAGCGTGATGTACCTCTCAGGCATTTGTGGTGAAATCCTCTAGACATCCAAACCCCGTTCTCCCCTGGGGATGTTGTGGGTACCATCTGGCAAAGAAGGGCCCCCCTTAAAAGGACCTGTATACCCTTCTCTAGCATGAGACACAAAATCATCTGGTGGCGTGGAGAGAAAAAATGCTCTCCTTCCTCTGGGGGCTTATAGGCAGTAACTATGGTACCAGATTGCTCAGATTTTGCTGAGGGGCTGTCCCTACTCTCAGAAATCAAACGACCCCCCCCCCCCAGCACATACTGTGACTAGTGCAAATGATGCACAATTGGCCTGAGAGATCCAATTTCTCAGCCTTAGTCCGAGAGTCCACATCCATGGGTCTGCTGGAAAGGGTGGCTTACAGAGACTCAACAGCAGCTACGAGTTGTGTTATCATTTAGTTTTCTAGAAACACCAGAACACCTGTGTCCTCTGGAGAGGCAGAACTGTATGTCTGTGCCACTGTGCAGCCATGACTGTCAGCCCGTTTCCCCACTACAGGGCATGGGCTCCCCTTTATCATTGGCAACCAATTAATACCAGGTTTAGTTACACATAAATACATACATACATAAATAGAATTCTGCATATTTAAAAAGTTCCAAGTTCAAATCAAGTAACTACTGGAGAGGATGGATTAGCAGATTATTTCGTGTTAATCATTTCATGCCTTTTCCAAAGTTTGTCATCATTTGTATTAGCATTTTCTTGTAAAGGAATGCAGGTTGATAGCTTGGCCTCTTGTACCAGAAACCTGAGTGCTTTCCCACTTGCACAAAGATACTTGAATAGCCAGAAACTTTACAACTTAACACTGAAGACAGATATAACTTTTCCTTTATTGCACAATAAGCTGTACAAGAGAGTCACAAAAGAGAGGTACTTCACACTTCCAGCATTGGCTGAGGTTCTCCCAGCTGGATCAGTACAAAAAAAGGGGACAACATCAGAAAAGAAATGGGTACAAAACACCTGAACAGCAATCCTATACTGGGACACAGATGTCCCCCAGGCCACAGAGTTGTCCTTTAGCATGCTGCCTGAGGGCACAGGACAGTCAGGTTATGCTATCTGCTTGCATTTGGCAGTGGGAGCCCTGATCAGCTTCTCCACCACCTGAGAGGCCTTGGCTAACACCACCCTGTGGCCTGACTGAATTCAAATGGCAACTCTGTATCGTGTCTCACAAATGTCACACGAAAAGCACCTGGATGTACACACTGATAACATGCAGAGAAGCAACACCATCATCAGCTCACCACTTGGACAAAAATAGATAAATAAATAAATAAAATGTATTCCTCCATTCTAGGAAATGTTACTTTATTTCTTTCTATCATTTCATCAGATTGGGAGGTATTTAAGGACCTGATTCTTATGCAACCCACCTGGAAGTGCATATATACATATATGTATATATTTACAACAGACTGACTACTGTCATCATCTAAGGGAGGGATCACAGACGAGAACATTCACACTCAGTGCCTTTCTCCGTGGCCTTGGAATTTGCCAGTAACCAAGGGAGAAACCAGGGCATGTGCCCTTGACACCTAACTCACATTACTACCAACACTGGCTACTCCTCAGATCTGGTAGTCCAGAACGGTGACATGTCAGGGCAGAGGTGGGAGGGAATGTCAGAGTAGAGCCAGAAGCACTTCTTCTAAAGACAAACTGCTGGCGTGAACTCCCACGGCCATGGTATTGGAGGAGGCCACGTGGTGCCTTTTCCCAGCCTCACCAGGAGATGGCAAGATGAGGCACCGAACCCGAGGCCTGGTTTAATTAAATGTCTCACCATCTGCCCAGGTGCTGCCCCTCGGAGGACAGAGGACAAACTCTCCAGAGAAGGTTCTTCAAGAGCAATGGCTGTGGAGCCTCTGTCCAAAACACACACAAGCTCTTGCCAGGAAAGATAAAGCTCCTTGTTCTCTGGACTAACAGCTGAGGACTAAAGCAGGAGGCAGCCTCAGAGTTCTGTAGGCAGTGTACCCACTTGAGTGACATGGGACATTATTATTTGGTCTCAAGTTATGATGCCTCAAGAGAGGCTAAGAACAGAAGGGTCAAATCCTTCCCAGACTTTCAGTAGCTCCCTGCATTCTATTTCCAACATCACTAAAGAATCATCTCTGTACATAGGTCAAGCTTTGGGGAATACAAAGCAGCTTCGGCTCCATAGAAGCACACATATGGCTGATTCAGGAACAGCAACAAGGAGGAAACAACTTAGAGGGACTGAGATCAACACACAGGAAATACTCACAGGTTCACTATGATATTGCACATCAGCGGCCCTGGTTTTATTTGCTTGTTTAATCTCATATCTAATTAGTTAATAAAAACGAAGGGTACACGAGGATGTGAAACACAGAACACATTCCTGGAAACAGCTTGTTCTCTGTATTTCATGTCATCACTAAAAACACAAGAGCTCTACAGGCACAGCCAGCCTATTCACATAAACTTAAACTGCACCAAATTTTAGCAAATGGAGAAAAAAGGTGGATGCCTTCAAATTCAACGGATGAAGCTATGGAAATTAGATCTTGAAAATCTCTTAAAGTTCTACCTATTTACCCTAGTCATGCAGAAAGTAAGCAAAAAGCACAGTTCATTGAAGATCCCAAGCACACTCATGGAGGTAAAGTGGGGGGTGGGGGTGTTAAGCAGAGCCTAGGGGGAGAAGGAGAGGAATTGGGTTTTATTTTTGTGGTTTCTGTTTCTCTCCTGTCCACCCTCCTACTCTTATTTCACCCACATTATGTAATACTTTAAAAAATACTATCAAACCACCCAGAAGATAGAGTCACACTGGACACGGGAGAGGCACAATTCTTTTGTACACTGTTGACAAACAGCCCTGGAATCACAAGTTATACAGAGAAAACAGAAGTGAGCATTACAAGCACGAACAGGAACAGGTAAACCACCAGACAGAGGAGCTGACACTGCATAGGAAAAACACAGTCCAGCCAGCATGGAAAGAGCGCAGCAGCAGCACCAAGGGGGGCTGCTGCACCCCTCCCTGCTCCCCTTTCTTTTCTTTTTCTTTCTTTTTGTTTTGTTTGTTTTTGGCTTAAAACTTCCCCTTTGAAAAATTAACTACCAATCACTTTAAGAAGCTTGGACTTGTTTTGGCCCTACTGCAATGCCATTACAGTCGAGAATATACTGTAAACAACCTTGGGGGGGTGGCCGCTGAGGCGGGGTCTTGCTCGAGTCTGGATCCTTAAGTGTTCCACTCTGGAAGACAAAAATGCAAAAGAGATAAAACCAAAACGCCAAGAGAATTCCAAAGAGAAAGGCTGTCTCTGTGGCAAAGCTGCAGTGCAATCTAGTGGGATCTGGCCAGAGGCTTCTGCTACTGCAGAAACCCCTCGAAAGGATCCTCAGCCCTAGCTTTTTGCCGGGACACAGTGTGGACAGTTTAGGGCTTGCGATCATTCTGACACATAATGCCTGAGACCCCTCAACCCCTTTTCCCTTCCACTCCCTTTTAGACTTGTTCTTTTTAGTAGCTTTGAGTCTTCTAACACCAGCTGGCTTCTTCTCTGGTGCCTGCTTGATGTCCAGCTCCCACTTGTACTTACAGGCCCGGCTTCCAAAAGGAAAGGGAGGATCAACACCAAACTCCAAAGATTGGATTGGGCTGTAGGTGGCTCCCAGGGAAGGAGGGCGGGTGCTGGACCAGGTGACTAGACTTGGCTCACTTCTCATCTGGAGTTGACTGCAATGTGGGATCAGTCCTGAGGCTGACTCAGGGGGTCAGAGCCACTCTCGGGGGTGGGCAGGAGCTCCCACAGGGAGGGCCTTGAAGGAGGGGCAGTCATTTGTTCCCAGAACCCTCCTTACCCAGAGGAAAGAAATAAGGCGTTAATGTTTGCAAAAAGTACTCAAGGCCAAGTTGTTTTTCCCTCTGAAACAGCATAATTACATTTTACCCAACAACATGGCTCCACTCCCATGCTTCCTCTCCTCCCAGCTGTGATTCGGATTATGCCCTGACAGGATCAAAGGCACATGTGACTTTGTTTTTCTAACATTTGTATTAAAGACAACAAGCATTTGGAGCTCAAGTTCAGCACAAGGGAAATGCTCTATAAAGCCTAAAAAAGCCTGCCAGGTGTGCTGATGGTAATGTCGAAGAGGGGGCTCCCGAGGCAAGGCTGAGAAGTGAGCTAAGTATGTCTTCAGCATTTTCCCACTTCCTCTTTCAGCACTCTCCCCTCCGCCCCACCCTCCCCCCCTGTAACATGCCCCTAGCCCTGCTCCTCCTCCTGTTCCCCCTTTCCCCTGGGCCTCCCATTCTGGCCATCTCTCTCCTCTCCTGCTTATGATGGCCTATTTTTACCTCCACTACCAGGAAAGTTGAAGTGTTACCCTTCCCAGTATCAAGCTGTTCTACTAAGAGGATCTGGGATAGTAATTGGTCCCCCCACCTCAGAGATTGCCCATATTTCTGTAACCCCCAACCACTCACAAATCCCAGCAAGAGCTCTAACCCTTCCTTTCCATTCTTCCATGCATATTCATGGGGTCTGTGAGCCTTGGTCTGAGCCTAGCACTGCAGTACCCACACCCAGTAAGCCTGCTGGAGACCACTCCATTCAGTCAGACCTCAGGACTCCTCAATTTTTCCCTCTTGGGATCTAAGATTTACCTTCTTCTCTGGGCCAGCTGTGGCCAGGCCTGAACCATTTCTTGCTTGGACTAGCATAGTCTCCTAATTCATCCATTGCTTCTCCTCGAACCTGTCTTCTCCACGACCACCTGTTATCCTCCTAAACCCTTTCCCTAGTTGTGTCACTTAACTTCTCTAAATAACTTAGAGCTAGCCCTTGCTGCTTCCTGTGTGACAGGTAACACAGTGGACACTTGGATACACATCTCCCTTTAACTCATAATAGCTCTATGAGGTGAGTATTATTTGATCAGCATCCGTAATTGCTTCCGCATGGTGGGAATCGACCTTTCTAGTCTCCTTTTTGTCCTAAATACACCTGCTCCTACCAGGCCTGACCCCTTACTGTTTATTCTGTAGTTCAGGCCACAACATCAATGTCACAACCTCTCACTGCCTGAGATGGATGTTCAGGTGAAAGACAGCAAGAGTCACAGAGTCTGTGGAGCCACTAGCCTGGCTCTTGCCAGTGCCCTCCCCCAGGGCCTCACCCCAGGCACCACTGATGGCTGCCAGCAAATTGCCTCAGATGTTGGTCAAGAAAAGCTTACAATGTTCTCCTCCTAGAAAACTGGTATTTTCAGAGCAGGTTATGGAAGACCAAGTAGCAGGAGAGAGAGCCAGGCAGGGCCAGGGGCAAAAGCTCCAGAAAGGCAGACTTGCACTTATAGGAAGAAATTTCTATTGTAAAAACAGTGGGATAGGCTGTCTTGAGAGGTGGATGTGTTCATGCATACACTAGAGAATTACCTGACAAAGATAATTGTAGAGAATTTTCCTTCACTAAATATGAGATAGATTAGATGAATGCTAAGGCTCCTTCCAACCCTGTGAACATATGATTTCAGGAAAAACTTTAAAAATCCCATATATTAAGCTTTAATAGTAGAACTCTAGACACTCACAGGATGAGCTCATAGGGGTGAACATACCGTGCAGGCTGGCCCTGGCTCTTCTCAGCCACAGAAATATACATGTGAGACACCCAAGGACAAACAGCCCAAAGTGCCCTTCCCAAAGCTTCAGAGGAAGAGGTCTCAGAAGCAGTCCTTTGGGCTGGAGCCTGGGAATGTGCCTTGGACACCCTTGATGGCGCCTAGGAAGTTTCTTCTGTCCCCAGCTCCACGGAGGTTGTGGACTGAAGACTTCTCAGGGGCTATGGGAGGCAGGGAGGAGAGTCCCTAAGGACTGTCCCTTGCCAAACTGAGATACTTTGGCTCCGCCCACAAGCCTACTGTCTGCTAGGGCTGAGGGCCTATTCCCTGAGGGGTTTGGCTACCATGGGATCTGACTCCAGCCACCAGGAGCCTCTTGGGATACAGAATTCCACAGAAGTCTGGCCACTCTGGCGTCACTGCCAAAGTCTGGCCCGTAGCCAGCTCACAGCAGGAATTCGTGGCCAGACTGAGCGGCAGAGTTTCCCTCAGGAAGTTGGACTGACTCAAACAGGTAAGAATGTGAAGACCAGTGCTTATGCCCAGCTGCACACAAAAAGAAAGGGGAATAAATGGCCTTATAGCAGCATAAGGGAAAAAACCCGAAATGACCCTGTGCTTATGAAATGACAACAGGCTCAGAAGGTGTCAGTGTGTAATACTGCTGCCAAAAATCTGATGTGGCTGGTGGCCTCATGAGAGCCCAGGGCAACCAATTCTAGGCACCTCTGTTAAGGGAGGTGCTGGCAGAATAAAATGGGTACATGGAGCAGATAGGATGGTGAGAAGTCTGGAAATGATATCTTTCCTCACGTGACTTTGTGCAAATTACTTAATCTCTGAGTCTCAATTTCCCAAATGGGCAGATTGTAAGGATTAAATGAGGTTACTGCAGAATCACCCAGGGCTTAGTAGAAGACCAGAATTAGTGAGATGTAAATCTGAATAATGTCAAGGGCTGGCTTGGGTGGTAGTGAGCCTCCTGGCATAAGAGGTGTTTAAGCTTGACCTGAACAAACTCTGATCAGAGATGCCGCCATAGAGGGGCTCGTGTAGTTTCAGGCAGATGACTTCTACGGGCACTTCTGGCTCTGGGATTCCATGAAGTTTTTAAGCTTGACCTGAACAAACTCTGATCAGAGATGCCGCCATAGAGGGGTTCGTGTAGTTTCAGGCAGATGACTTCTACGGGCACTTCTGGCTCTGGGATTCCATGAAGTTTTTCATTCACTTTTCTGAGATGTGAGACAAGCCCTTCTTAGCTTCAGAGTCTCAAACCCAGCAAGACCCCAGGGCTACTGGGCCTGAGCAGAGGTGTCCTGCAGGCAACAGGCTTTGAGGGACATGGTAATAAGAGTATGCGGCTGCCCTCCATCAAAGCTAATTGGGCTGATATCCTGCTATGCTGAATCCACTGGGCCTTCATGTTCAGAGAAGCCAGGGAGAGAGGAGAAAGCTGGTGAACCTCAGACACCCCATCCCCCCAGCCCCCAGACTGGTAGGTCCAGCATTTGGTTGTCAAGGGAAGAGGCTAAGGGTTTCCCAGGGTCACAAATGCTCAGTTCTCTCCATTCGTACCTTCCCTTGTGGCCAGCCCCCAGACTGGTAGGTCCAGCATTTGGTTGTCAAGGGAGGAGGCTAAGGGTTTCCCAGGGTCACAAATGCTCAGTTCTCTCCATTCGTACCTTCCCTTGTGCTCTGCTGGGAGCATCAAAAGGGCATGGTCACAGGACTGTGGAGAACTCCCTGAACTAGGAACCAGAAGATCCAGGTCTCCTGCTTAGCAGCTGTGTGAACTTGGGAAAGTCATTTGCATTCTCTGCCAATATGTGAAACAATTGGCAAGACAGAATCACCAGCCCAAACCATCTCACATAAGGGTTATGAGGTTTAAAACAATGAATGTGCTTTGTAAACTGTAAAGTGCTAGGCAAAGTAATGATGTAAATGAGTACCACTACTATTACTTGAGTGATAATAAATATCAATCCAAAGGGAAGAAGCTCTAAATGTCAGAGTTTCATGCATCAGTGGAGAAGATATTGTTGGGTGGCTTCCTGTCACCTGGTTCATAGTAGTTTTGTGGGGGGAGGGGGTGGGATTCTGGGCTGGGCTATACCATGCCCTCTGTATATCAAAGTCAGTTCCAGCAAAGTCCCTGTAGTTGCAGAAAAGTCAGTTCAGAAACAGTAAATATTAGCTCTTGAGGTGCCTGGAAAGGAAATCACTGGCCTGGGAGAGAAACCAAGCCTGTGGAAGAGGGTTTGTGGGTTTTTGTCAAAAGCACCTTTAATTTGCTACCCTGTGGCTTTCAGTAGGCAAGCTGGGAGAGAGGAGCTCCTAGCTGAGGAAGGAAAGGCATTGAGTGACTCAACTCTTGAGAGTTGTTGGCCTGAGACCAACTGCCCCCACCAAGGAGGAAGGCCTGTGCTTGCTCAGCATATATGAGACAGGAAATTGGGAAAGGGTCCCAGGGTCTGGCCCCAGGAAAGAAGCCAGGCCAAGCTCCTGGCCGGACACGCCACAGAACTATTCTGATCAGCTCCCCCAGGCCCTGCTCCCCCAGTCTAGGACCCCAGGGAGAATGAGGCAGCAGGAAGGAGTGTGGTCGGGAGGTTGTAGGTTTAATCACAGCAAAGGGGACAGCGTGTCTTCAGGCACTTTGAGATCTTCTCGGCCCACCCCTGCAGTCGCCAGTGCCCACCTTCTTTCCTCTGAAAGATTATAAAAGGTGCCTGAGGATGAGCTGCTTCTCCTTCCTTCCTGAGGGGAACTGCCACGCTGTGGGCAGAACTCATCTCCCAGACTGGGGCCCTCTCATAACCTAAGAACATAAGAAATGTCCCATGGGTGCAGTCCACCAGTCCTGGGGGGGCATCGAAGG